TGTACTGTTGTAACTGTGTTTAAAATATATTTGGTCAGTGTTTATATATTTGTTTGATGAATATTATATACTCTTTCATGACCCCTCCTAATTTTTTACAATTGTCATAGCCTTCTGTGAACCCTAAAACAAAATTAAATATTTACACAGTGTCACACCCGTCTGAATCATACAAAATTATTTACACTAACATTGCGGCAAAAATGGGGAGTGTAGTCACTGTAGACTGATAGTAGAGACTGTGGATAGCAGAGGCTGTAGATAGACTGTAGCTGTGGACAGTAGAGACTGGAGAATAATGTAGATAGTAGAGACTGAGAGAATGCAATTTTTGTAGCTATTTAAGGGGTATTGGTGTAAAAAAAACCCATAGCCTACTAAATTAGTTTAAAACAAAACAAACAAAACAAACAAAATATAGCGCGGTGCCAAAATAAATATATCGTATTACGCCCCGGGCCCGGGGACGCGTAACGGCGTATTTGAATAAATAAATACATATTTATTTTTAATAAACAAATACATACATAATTATTTTTAAATAAATACAAGCATATTTATATTTTTAAAATAGGAAAAAAAACATAGATATTTATTCAATTTAGTTACTTCTGAAAAAGAAGAAGGGCGAAGGGCGAATTCCGAAGCAAAGCTGTCTTTCGGCCCGCGTCTTTTTTAAAGATGGTTGTTTCTGGACAAACCTAGTTTATCTTTTTTAGGTCTTAAACGTCAATTGCGGTTTTCACTGGACTGCCACGCGACCCTGGATAGGTGCATGTGCAGTATAATATCCTGTTCATTATAAGTAGTTTTTCACCTTGTAATAAAAGTTTAGAGTTACTAAGAAACATCGGAGAAAGGGGTCTCTATAGGTTATGGGCCTTTTATTGACTTCCCGATCCAATCACTAATCTAAGATGCCTTCTAGCACACACAAATCCCTGCCATCTCGTGGTCAATCCTCGACGAAGATGGTACTAACATTGATCAATGGATTGCTGACCTGGACATGGCATCCACGGCCACAAGTAAAAATGACCTTTCTCTCATTCTTCACTACACTACTCCTACCGAGGCGGTTAATGAAGCATATTCCGAAATACAGCAAACTCCGAAGAAGGAATGGACATCTGCACAGACAGCTTTCATGAAAGAAGCTGACTACGTGACGAACGCCAAAGAAGTGGGTACCTATTATGAAGCCAAAACCCTGATCTTGGCTACAACATGTATTGCTCTTCGCCTTAAACTGGCACACACTATTCGAAACACCCATCCCTGGGCTCGATTAACCCACATCAAACGACGGTTTAAGTACCAATTGCGAAACACTTATGATATTATTGACGGCGCATACCTTCGCAAGCTACACCGTCTACAGGACGAGTCTCTACGGACCTGGTTACACCGCATTGAAGATATTTTACTTCAGGCTAAACTCCAAAGTACAACATTATCTCCTATTGTGGCACAAAACCTCTTTATCGATGGCCTTTCAGATGTGAATAAACATCAAATATAGAACATCTATCTCATGTCGTTCAAACATCGCGATAACATCACGATTTACCAAATGCTCGACTACCGAGTTTCCGCTATCGTCCAATGACAAAGCCATCCCTGGCGTTGCTCGAACAACGCCCGCGGCTGAACCGACTATCCAGGATGCTGTGAGGATGATCAACAAACTCAAAACAGCTACCCAACGGCCTAACACTCGCCAAATGCTCTGGTTTGTGTATCAGAAATCGACACACGTTTTATCTCTATGCCCGAAGACTTGCGGTTGATGCGGCGACATGTAAACTTCGATGGAAATTACTAGGTTTCAAACTATATTAAACTAAAATACAATTTAGTCAGTTAGGATTTAGCAGTGGTAGCTTGTGTAGGAATGATCGGGACTGCCTCTTGTTAAGAGTCTAAATATCCTCGATCACACAGGGCGTACCTCTCGCTGTTCTTTATTGAATACTTTTCACTAGAAGTACTAAGTGTTCATGACCACATGCCTAATTTGTAGATAGACGTAATAACGTAAGTCACGTTAATACATTAGCTGATATAAATAAAGTTCCATCTGAAGAAAAGTTAAAAAAAGAAAAAGAAAAAGAAAAAGACTTATTGGATTTTGGAGATTGGCGGGAGGACCAAAATCTATAAGTAGTAGTTCGGAGATTATAAAATTTAGTTTATAATATCCTACATCTACTAATGTCTCAAATAGGTCCAAGTAGATGAGTCATATCAAATACTCAGGCTATTGGAGCCATCAAAGTGAATTTAGAACACTTTGGAAATATTGGAAAAAGAGCTTGTATTAAATTATTTAAAATACAAATAAAAACCAATGTATTATCTCAATTGATCTTGATATTTTAGACTGACCGGAGGCCGTATTTATACAGACACGTCTCACAACAGTCGATCATGTACCGCTCAGTCCCTGTGAAAGGACATTTAGCAATAGTTTTTTTCAAAACGCAGCAATAAACAGAATTTCCCATATACAGTTATTACTACTATAGCCCGAATCACAATTCCTACGGTGTGTAAGACTACGCAAGCATCTACACAGAACACTAACTCACTCCTTATAGACGAAGGAGCCACAGTAAACTACATGCACAGTTCCGCACTCAAACTACTAACAAACATAGAAGTAGGAAAATTCCCTTTACGACTGGCCGACAATAATATCAAATTTATCAAAATTCGTGGCACATTACCCTAACTTGCTACAACATACTTGGACCCGGATCTTACCCAAGGACTCTTCGCTCAAAACAAAAACAATCTTCAGGACTGTGGTTTTACATTACAGTTCCCGGGATATCTACATGAGTGCTACCTTGGTCTTCGCTCGTCATCTATCACGCTACCTAGAAAATCAGGAGGATATTATGTATCATACGACTCATTACAAACTTTACTATCACCTCCAAAGGTCCACCCCCTGACTACTACACGTCAACCTCTGACTCTGACCAACACCAGAGCCCCACTACTGGCTACCCCACGTAATAGCCCCCCCCCCCCCCCCCCCCACCCCCTTCACCATGCCTCATGCTGCTACATTGACGCCCAGCGCCTCCCCAGTCGCCACCCAATCACCCACTTCACCACCTACTATCCCTGAAACTATCCACCCTACATCCTCGCAGACAAACACGCCACACACAACCATGACATACGACGCATACCACCGGTCCTCCGGCCATCGCAGCCGCAGAGTCACTTTGTGTATGGCTAAGCACGAGAACATCACGCACACTCATCCACCCCCTCTCAACGTCATGACAGAGGAGTGGATGTTTGACTCTCAACTACTTAAAACTGCTTTGGAATTCTTGAAGTTTAAACCAGCACTAGGCTTATGTGCATCCAAAACCACGGCACAATTTCCTCGTTATGTGTCTCCGGAAGGAGATGGCATAGCGCTCGACTGGGCCGATATTGATCTACTCAAGGAACTGGCTTACGTTTGTCCCCCGTGGTCGCTCATCAAAGTAGGGAGTACGTTAGTGATAGTGACCCCTCTCCGCCCAGCAGCCCCTTGGTGGCCAGCACTACTGGCACATCTACAAAGGCAACCGTTTCTCATCCAGAACACGGCCACTACATCTTCTTGTCATGGTACTATTTATGTCGGTAAACCCTCTTGGGCATTTACTATCGTCGCCCTTATAGGACCTCTCCATTGTCACGCTAACCCTGGACGTGATTTTACACTAGCTATTGCCTACGCCAAGGCTAATCCTGAGTTCCGTAAACATTGTAACACATGTATCGAGGGAAAAATCAAAGCCACAAATGTCTCTCACCGTTTAATTGACACCGGCTATGGCCCGGGGGAAACATTCCACATGGACCTCCAGGGACCACTACCACATAGTCGCTACGAAAACATCTATATTTTAAATGTGTTTGACGCGAGTACGCGCTATGGCTTTCACAAAGCCATCGCAAATAAGCAATCTATGTTTAATAATATTGATAAGCTTCTAACGAATGTACCAGCCTTCTGGGTACCGAATACTCTAACGGCCGATAAAGACAAAGCATTTCATAGCCAGGATATGAAAACAATGCTCCTCTGACGCCGAATGCAGCTCAGACGTCCACCTCCATACTCCCCTTCTCAGAATGCCAAAGTCGAGAGACCACATGATGTAAGGCTCGGTCTAAGAAAGGCGATACTAATGCCATAGAACAAATAAACGCGTAGGTGATTTTTAAGTATCGTGTAAATATCGATATAAATAAACAAAATGAGACGTTTAATAAAGTTAGGGTTGCCTCGTGAAAACAGCAATACTCTGAGGGATTGTGAGGCTGAGACATTGCCTATATATAATCCTCTCAGTACTGTTTTCGCCGAAGGGATTTTATTTTGTGTTTCGCTGTCGCACTTTTAGAAACTATGGCATGTTTCACTGGGGCGAATCCGAGAGACTCATAAAATCCTATCTTTAGAAGAAGAAGAAATACTCTTGACGTCTTCAGTTATTGTCTTAACCAATAACTTGCCATTATGAAGAATTACCGACTTAGTCTTCATCAGACTGGCAAATCTGGTTGGCTGATCGGAGGATCAACTAGGTAACGTTAATAGTCCCTAGAAACCTATATTCGGTTGAGCCATCTCGCTACCGAAGTATTCAGATATAAATAAAATTAGACCAACTCTTTATGTTGGTATTTTACTGAGGCCTTTTAATGGTCTCATCCAAATATATGATATGTAAAAGTGGAAAAGGTATTAATTAATAAAACCATTAAAAACCGTTTTAGGAAACTTAAGTTCCTCGTGCTATTAAGAGCACATTTAGGAGACTTAAGTTCCTCGTACTATTAAGAGTATATTTAGGAAACTTAAGTTCCTCGTACTATTAAGAGTACGTTTATATTTATAATTTGCGTTTTGCTTAAGAGTGAGTCTAATGTGGAGGCCCGGCTTATTACAATGATACCCTGAACGGTTTGGTTCGCTTGCTACT